TACTATTCAAAATGTACTTGTGTGCAGTGTTTAAGCAACTCCCTGTTCTATTGCTCATCCATGGAGGTGATAGTACTGTCTTGACAGTCTGAAGAAATGTTCTGCCTTTGTAAACAGAATTGCAGGATCTTCTCAGTATGGAAGAAGGAAGGTACCTCCTTCAATTTAAGTAAATGTGGCCACCTTTTGAGGCTTATTAAATTAAAGACATTTGTTTTCAGAGAGCAACTAGGTGGAGATAAGGCTTATTCTGGGGATTGCTGCATTTTGAAACAAGGTAAAGGACGTGGTTGTGTTTGCATTTCGTGTTCTAATTTGCTGTGAGCACTGCATGATAAAGTGTGATGTGTGTTTACTTCTTTATTAAATCACTCAAACTCAAAAAAGGCTTTGTTTTATGTGATGTGTAAATTCTTACATAGATGGCAATGCATCTGGTCATTAAAGAAATAACACTGTATTAGCTGAGCCGTGAATGCTTTAGGTCCCATAACTGATACAAAGATACAATAGCTATCAAATATTGTTTTCCGTTTATAGAATGTAGCCGAGATCTGGGACTCTTGATACAGGTCACCTTTCCCCGATGCTCTTGTGCACCAATGATAACCGCTTGTTGACATGTGACAAAATAAGAGCAACATTGTAGCCTTTTCTACTCCTCCACGTACTCTGTGGCGAGCTGGTGGGAGTGTTCTTTACAAACAGGTGTGTGTATGTAAAGGGAGTAAATATATTTGTGCACCAAGCCCTGTGACATGTTGTACCACTGATTTAACTGTAAAATAAATGTTGAAAGCTGAACTTTCAGAATGAAAAAAAAAAAAAAAAAACTGCAACCAAAAGCGAGCGAGAGGATAAAAAAAACATACCTTTTATTTCTTCATTTAAGATGCCAGGCAGGGACACCGCAAAATGGGCGAAACACTTAGTAGATGACGCTTACATCATCAGTGAAATGACTTAGCTGACCATGGACTTCATGAATTACCTTCTACCTTCAGATGGAAAATGGGATAGTATTTTTTGCTGTATTGAGTTATTTTCTCACAGGTAAAATATATATGAGAGACATGATAAAAAAAATTTAAAAATAGGTCTGTCAAGATGACATGCCTAGCTGGGTGCTTCTCATGAAATCTTTAATAGATTTCAAACATGAAATTTAAAAAAATAAATAAACAAATAAAAAAAATTACATGAACAAATTTCCTTTTTGGTAATTAAAGGGACCCTATATAGTGACCCAGACCACTCAATCTCATTGACATGTTCTCGGTACAGTGTGCCTGTTCCCTTAACCCTGCAGCTGCAAACAATGTAGTTTTAGGGAAACGTCATTGTTTCCATTGCAGGGAAAGGTCTATTAGACAGCCACTAAAGGCGCATCCTGGTTTTCAAAGAGTTTAACTCCATGAAAGGACACTTGACATCCTTGTGCTTTGCATGAGGCTATCCAACGTCTTGCAAATCCCCATTAAAATTATTCATTCAATGCTTTCCTATGGCGAAGGGCTGAGGTTTCCACTTGCACTGACATCACAGGAGGAGATCGAGCCAGTGCCAAAGGACCTTTGCCCTGGAATCAGGTAAGTGTTTAAAGGGTTTTGAACCCTTTGACTGTCGTTGGGAGGGAGTGGGATGCGGAGGTATTGCTTTAATAACAAAGTATGATGTTTTGGGAGCATGCAATTTAAAACTATTGAACACCTTTGAAATTATTTTCCAAAAGAAGTTATTAAAAATCTCATTACCGCAGCAGTCTAAAAACATCAATACTTTTTTTTTTTTTTTAATTGATTATTAGCAGTCATACATAGTTACTTTAAACTCTTAAATAATATATACTTTTCCATCAACATTTTTATTTGATTACTGATTTTTCTCATTGCCGCAACACCTACTGCTGTCTACAACCTAATATTTTTTATATTTGATTGAAATCCATCGTATTTTAAAATTGATATGGCAAACCTGAAATAACATAATGTATAGATTCTGCATATGCATTTAAAAGCGAACTACCATTAAAGGGATACTGTAGTGCAAGGAATAAAAAGCTGTATTCCTGACACTACCGGTCCCTCTGCGCCCCCCTTGCACCCTCTTCTACCCGGTAAATAAAGGGTTAACAACCCTATATGTACTTACTTGATCCCAGAGCCAATGTCCCTCAGTGCTGGGTCAAAGCTCCGCCCCCTCCTCCGTCCAGCGACAAGCGGGGTCTAATGAGCATGCGCTGCAAATGCTGCACGCACATTAAGACCTCCTTATAGGAAAGCATTGAATCAATGCTTTCCTATGGGGAAAATGTGATGCTGGAGGTCCTCATGCAGAGCGTTAGGACGTCCAGCATCAGATAACTGACCAAAAGTTTGTTTGAATTCCGGAAGCCCTCTAGTGGCTGTCTGATAGACCGCCATCGAGGGCAGGCTTAGTGCTGCAATGTGAACATTGCAGTTCTCTGGAACTGCAATGTTTTACATTGTAGCACTAAAGTGCAAAAGGGGCACAGCACCTAGACTACTTCAATTAGCTGAAGTGATCTGTGTGCCTACAGTGTCCCTTTTAATGTTTCCATTTATTACATTAACATTAAATGAAAACCTGTTGCGGTAATTTATAATGTTCTGGAAATGAGGTTGATGATTTTAGTAATGATAGTAAGTATACCAAGACTGAGCTATGCTTTAAAAACATTCTAAAGTGTAATGTAGAATGTAAACTTAGAAAATTTTGTCACAATCATGGATTCAAGAATCAAAATTCCTAACAGAGTATATAGGCTAAACACAGAGAGCCTACCAAGGATTTCAAAAGTATTGTGAATTAATTACTTTGGCAAGGTAGCTGTGGTAGGCCGGATAATTCACTAGTAGAAAATCATATAACTGCACTCCAGGGTGTTAATCGGTCCTTCGCATCCCAGTGGCCATTGTATGCCTGTAACAGTCATAGTCTAGTCCTATTACTAATATAATACATACAAAAGATGGAGCTTCTAAGTAGTATTTCAACATATATTCTGTAAGATAAAATCATATGAGGGTATGACTCCAGGCTTGTGAGTGATATCACTCTTTTATTTTACTTTTTAAGCATTTTACATACTGTATTGCACTAATGTTGTATGATTTTATCTTACAGAATATCTGTTGAAATACTACTTAGAAGCTCCATCTTTTGTATGTATGCATTATATTTGTTTTATGTGGTGTAGGGGATACCACTTTTAGGTGTTAGAGCTTCTTACCTCCATATTGTGCACGTATCTTGTTGTATTATTAGTCCTATTACTAACCCAACTCCTCCTGCTACGCTCTGAATCCTCCTTACAATCCCATTGTTTACACACTTTTTAAATTCTGAAGTTCTCTCTACCGCATTTACCCTTAAATTGCAGCGGTAAGTGAGAATGGTGTTATGGACGATGAGGAGCTATGGTGACTAAGGTGACTTGGTGTACCTAATTAGACATTAACAAAGTATATTTTTATAGAAAATGTAAAATGTAAAGTTTTTCTAAATGTAGAAAACTACGAGCATCAGTGAAGATAATCAATAGTGTCGTATACACTGTCTGACAATAGAATGTTTAACGTTCAACTCTAGTGATCTATAGAGATCTGCTTACTGGGTAGCCATCTTGAAGGTACTGGTGGATACATTGCTGCATTCAAAATCAAACTTTATTTAAAATTCTGTTTGTGTGTTTAAACAGTTCTTTTAAAATGTTGCAGAGAATGAGATCAGTCATGGACACTTACGTTTTCCACAATGTTTTCATTATTTTACATGCATATTCAGTTAATCATTTTCTGTCTTTTGAAAACCCCTAGTAGAACATCTTTTTATATTATTCAGAATGTTTTAATTTTACAACATAACATACATTGAGACATAGCTGGACGCATTGCGGTTATGAGAATTTCAGTAGAAAATGCAAATATAATTGATTCCCATGTTAAAAATACTCTGTGCAAGGTAGATAACTCTATTATCTTTATTATAATATTTTGTTATATTCCTAAATAACATGTTTTATGTTTAAAATCATTACTGCCACAGTGTATTAATGGATTCATGAGTGACCCAGCCTTTTTAAAATCACAATAGTATTTACTAAATTGGTATCTGCACCAATCATGTTCATTGCGCCACAGAATATCCATGTCTTAACTTCAAATACAGTCTTTGAAGCAGTGCGTGGCTGACAGGTCTAGCAGCCAAGGGGTTAATTGACCTGAGCTAATCAATTATTATAAACTAAGCTTGCCGTGGGTGAAGCCTGAAATCGTTCATTCATTCTCCGTTATACGGCCCAGCAGCTGGGACAAGCCAGTTTCGTGGAATTTTCTTTCCAAAGTTCTCAAGCTGTCTGCGCTTTTATAATGGCAGGAAAAAAGTTATTATTCACTCAGTTGCTTACACCACCTGTTACCAGACATTGTGTCGCCCTTTCCTCAGCCCACCCGCCTTTCTTATATGGATAACTTACATGCTGTCTAATATGAAAACTTAATCTGATTTAAAATTTTTGTAGATCTTTTTAATACGAATATATTTAAAATCACTAAATACCCTAATAAAAAAGGATTACTCCTGTATAGACTTTCATGATCACAGAACATTCCCATTGCTATAAAATCCCAAATAATGTCTTTATATCTTGACCAATTGCGTCACCAGCTATACAGTGACTTTATTTTCACAACCAAAATTAGGGATAAGTTAAAAATAAAATTTAATTGATCCAAAAACTCAGCCTGTTAAAAAGGTATTTTAAAGGAAGTGTGATTCCATTCATTCCATCCATCAATACCTCCTGGCACCTCACCACCAATTTCTTTTAATGTTTTAACCCTCATTGGATTCCATCCAAAATCTATTGAATAAAATCTGCTTTGCCAGAATAAACTTTATTAATCATTTTATATGTAATATAACTATTGGAAGCCAGTAAAATAAAACTGACTATTCTCTTTAATCCCCCCTACATACCCCACTAGATTCAGTATAATAACGTAAACTTTGGAGTGTAGTTTTTGGAGTTTAATATAATTATGCATGATTTCCTTGGTTTGTGTTTTAGAAGTGATCACAACATGGAGTCTCGGTAAATGCCGAACAATGAGCAGCCTTGACTCGACACACCATTGCGGCCTACATGTGGGTGCTGGCATGGAGGAAGCGGCTGATCTTCCTGCTGGATATCCTACGGACATAAGTGGACATAAGTGTTCCAGTCCCCCCCTCCCCTACTTTACCCATGGGGGTTATCCCGGCCACAGCACTCACACCCTACTCACCGGCCCCTGGTGGCCCTGCGACTCAGCACACGTTCCTGCTGGACGAATTGGCGGGAGCCAGTCCTCACACCATGCCACAATGCCAGAGGGAATCCACTCTCACAAGGCTGGATGCAATATTTATGGAATTCTGGCACAGGCATGAGGATAGACAAATGAGTATAAGCAAGCAACGGTACTCACCCCCTGCAGTTGTGAGCTCCATGTCTGGTCCAAAGCGTCTGAACAGGCCTGCACCTAAGCGCTGGCACAAACAAGTGAACTTCTGGAACATCAACCATGCACTGAGTTGGGGTCTTATCTGGAGACACAGTGACCCAACTGCCCAAGCACCTATAAGACACCTGGGCAACCAGAAGGACCTCGGACCCGTGACTCTGGCAAGCGGTGACAGAAGACCCTCGGGAAGGCAGTGAGGGTTATGGCTCAGGAGGGAGAAAAGCAAAGGCACAGCATCTCCACTGTAGCCCCCAAGCCTGAAGCTAAGCCTGGCATGCTAACCTGCATGAGACGGAGAACACTATGCACATATGGAAGAAAGCTTATCCATTGTGGCCAGTTTGCGGAATTGGCCTGTTTTCCACGTAGTTACTCATAGGTTCCTAGTGCAGCGGTTCGATCCTTCCCCGTGTTCTTAATTGAGAATAGTACCTAGTGGCTACTAAGCAACACTATTGATTATAGTTTAGCATGTTACACAATCGTATTCTTTTACTCCTTTGATTACCTTAGTGTCAGTCTACAGAGCACGCATCCATTTGTCCTCTTGTTCACTCATTTACTGACACAACTTAATTTAGCCTGTTTATTATTTAAAAATGTGCAGTTCTAATCTCATCCAGCAAAATACTGTCTCTTGAAATGCTTGTGTCTGTGGTTGTTACATAGCAAGCTTGTCTGTTAATCTTTTGCACAATAAAATAAAGAATTTAAAAAATAAATAAAATAGTTGATCTATTTTGCAGTTCTTTTCTTGAGCTACACTTATGAATTGCACATTATTAGAGACAAAACTCTGGGAAGAAAAAGTTAGATTTTTCTTTAACTTCTTGATATTTTCTTTGTAGTTTTTGAAGCTTGCACAGCTTTATTTAAACTTATTGCAGTGGAAACCTACATTGTCAGGAGCAAAAAAAAAAACAACAATCCAATCATCATTATACAGCGCAACAGAATTTGCTGGCGCTTTATAAATTATAAAATAATTGTCATTGTGACTGCATGCTTGGTGAAAGAACAGGAAAAAGGGCATAGGGCTTAGGGGTCTCTAGCTACATATTTATTCTGGAACCATGCAGCAGTCTGGTCCCTTGCCTTAACCACACTCTTGATGGCCGCAGGTACCAGCTGCCTTGCATGCTGTTATAGTAAGCTGCTGCATTTAAACAATACTGTGGTTCCTCAAATGTTGTAGGGAAGGGACTATAAAACTTGTAATTGGCTGGAGGACAGGCGGAAAATTCGGATCGTGAAACATGCACAAAAATATTAAACTGGACAAGCGAAAATAGGCTGTGTCAGTATGGATCGAACATATCCGTGTATGTTCCTTTAATTAAACTGTAGCTGTGCCCATTGGTGAGATCAATACAATGTCCATAGGTCAGTTCAAGAGTGCAATTTCTATGGAAGCACAGGCCAGGGAGCACATGTCAGTTATGGCAACTCCACTCACCTAGAGGACTTTGAGCATACATTTGAGACAAATCTGTGTATTTTACTTTAAACTTAGGGATAGGGTTTTTGACGTTGTTTTTGAACTCTTCTCCATTGGTTTCTTTCTTCCATGGTGAGGTGAGAGATGTCTGGGACTGTAGTTATCAGTAATTCCTTCAATCCCCTCTAATCACCTTTTGTAAAAGCCAATGTCATTCACACACGGGCGGTGCATCCTCAAACTGTCGTTTTAATGTATTATAATGAATAGCATTCACATGAGTATCTGAAAGCTGCTAGTCATTTCTATCCACTCTGTGTTAGTAATGGATTGTATGTCAATGAAGACATTTTATACATATTTTGGAATATATCTCTTACTGGTGTATTTATAAACACTGTTGCAACAAATCTTATCATTGCATTAGAATTATAATCCTGTAATTTCTTGAAATTGGAGAATTAAGGAAAAGATACCAAATGCATTGTGTATTCCTTTTTTTTTTTTTTCTTTTTTTTTTTTGATACAAATAGTGAAAAGATTTGCACATTAGACATTAAAGATGTTCTGTCTGGACATAGTTTGTGTCAGGATGGTTGAGCTGTGCTGTAACTTGTTTTCTTGTTGTATTGAGCTTTTGATGTATGTACTTCTAAGCATTTTTGTTTCACTGGTCATAAAAATAGGCATTCTTCTCATTGGGTTGGAAACTCAGCCTAACTTATGGCAGGGTGTTCTGAAAATGATGAAATGATTACACATTGGTATGTCTCCAGAAGGCATGGGAAGAAGAAGGGACTATGATCTACTAATTTACTGTCATAACACTTTGATGTTCACTTAAATAAATAATATCCGTATATGAACGTCCCGGTAAATGAATATACCTGTTTGATACAATTTAACCCACACTACACGAGCATGTCTAAGGACTTGGTGGTTGTATTTTAACTTCACATTAAATGGTCACAGAATCCTTTCCTCTTCTGTCCTGCCATACTGACACTGATACTACCCCCCACCATTGGTAGCAAACAGCAGAAGAGTACTCCCATCATTCCTATGTTGCCTTCATGAGCTTCTATATTCAACCATAATATACAAACAAAAGGCAACTTTTTTTTTTTTTTTTGAGGCTGAGAGTTTCCTACCCATGTGTGATCACCCCAAAGACGAATTCTGTAATGTGGAAAAGAGGGTTCTTTATAAATATCTACACATTACTGCTCTTCTTACTCAAGTCCCTTTTTGGTCGCAGGTGATTCAATTTAAGAACTCTAATAAAATCCACAGCCATGCAAATAGATGTTCCAGATATTAAAGGGTTAATATTTCATAGCATTTGGTTCATCCCATCCAGAAAGCTCCTAGGGAATATGATGTGTTTATTTGTTTGGTTAAATATCTTTTGTGTGTTTTATATTTATCATTTATATTTCTTTGTAATTGTATTACGAAAAGAAAAAAAAATAGTTTACAAGTATAAGTGGATATAAAGGAATAAACACCATTACATTTATTTTAGTTAATTAATAGGAACCTACAGTATGTCTGCAGATATGTATATACTAGCAAGGCTGTCTCATTAAACTGTTATTTTTTTTGTGTGTGTGTTGTTCATTCAAGCCATTACGGTCATCTTGTGCTTAAGTAAGGGTTTGCCACTACATTTGTTCGGGCAGGATTTTGAAAAATATTAAAAACAGAGCAGATTACTCCAATCACAATATGTAGATAGGTTTTCATTACATTCTCTTTACTTACCCAAAAACTGTTTCTCAAGGATTTAGACCCAATAACATTTCACACAAACCACACAATTATGCTGTATGGCCCAATTGAATGCTTAATTCACAAGCCATATAGACTTGTAGTAAAGGAAAACTATAGGCGTTAGGAAGACAAACCTGTATTCCTAACACTATAGTGTCCTTGTTGCAAGTTAATTTTGCCCCCCTCCCAAACTTTCAGTGAAAAACCAGTAAAACAAAAAAAAGATATCTGCTTAACTTTTCTCATTTACATTGCAGGGTTAAAATGACAGGGCCTATGCATCCAGACAACTTCATTGAGATGAAGTAGGCTTGGTGACTTTAGTACTTTAAAAGAACACTATAGTCACCAAAATGACTTTAGCTTAACAAAGCAGTTTTTGTGTATAGATTTCTCCCCTGAAGTCACACTGCTTAATTCTCTGACATGGAGTTAAATCACTTTTGTTTATATCCGTGTAGTCCTAGCCACACCTCTCTTGTCTGTGACTTACACAGCTGGCATGAAACAATAATGGTTTCACTTTTAATCGGATTTTAACTAGGTTTAGACATTTTTATATCCTTCTCTTTAAATTTAACTTTAATCACACACAGTAGGCTCCTGCAGGACCAGGCAAGCAGGTGATGAAAAATTCTAAAATACACAGACTTTGCCATTCAGGAAGTGTAAACAGTAGATGACTATTTACAGGAAGTGTTTAGGAAGGCTGTGCATGATAGTTACAGGGAGGTGTGACCAAGGCTGCATAAACAAAGTGATGTAACTCCTAAATGGCAGAGAATTGAGCAGTAAGACATGAGGGCATGAACTATACACCAAAACTGCTTTATTAAGCTAGTCATTTTGGTGACTTTAGTGTCCTTTTAATTATATCTGGTTGCACTAGGGATATCAACTAAGCTTAACCATGTCAAAATAATGTAATTTTTCAATACAGTAGCAAGTAGAACTGGCCAGTCTTTGGTAATCCAACTCATAATGGAGTAGTACAGGTTGTCAATATATGGCATCTAGAATAAGAGGAGCCTGTTCCATGAGCCTGTTCGCGCCACCTTCTTATTGAGTAAATTTTTTGTTGTTGTACAGTTGTTTCCGGATACCCTCTCCCCTTCTTTTCTTCCCATACACCCTAAAAAGGTTTAGAAATATTTGGTCAACTGAATTTGAGATGTACCACCATCATTTCTGGGGTCTGCTTTCGGTCATATAGATTGAGAAAAATCCTCAATAAATGATGTCTAAAACCTTACAAATACTTTGAGAATTTGCGATGTAATGTTCACGTTGTCATTTTGTTTCCATATGCTGTACAAAGTTAACATGTATTTGACGAAAGTTCTGAGCAATTGAAAATCAAAGCATGATAAGATAACTATACCCTTCAACCACATCCGAACATCAGACATACTCATTAAAACGTGAATTTGATCTTCATCTTTAGTTGATAAACTTGTTAACCAAAGAGAACCACTTAAGGCTGTATTCTGTAACAGGTGTGTTTCTCACGATAGGTTTTGCAAGGCAGAAGACAGCTATTCTGTCTCAATTATCTCCATTTGTTTTGCCGCGTTGACAACTGTAGGAAATTTTTTTTTTTTTAATTTCTTCTTTTTCTTATTCTGCATATACACTGTCTAGCAAAAGTAAATGATTAAAGTAATGTGAGATATTGTTACATTGTAATTGGGGAGATATTGAATCAAATGTGCAAGAAATGACAGACGTTGATTTATGTCTTCAACAAACGGACTAGAGAACATACCCCAAGGCTTTTATCCTGGTTTTCTTATAAGTAGAATATTCTTACTAATTATTTATCATTTCCATGTGCGATGTGATCAGTCTTTCTTTTTCATCCCAAAAACCTCCTCTCTTACATAAACTGTGTGAGTCATATTGACTGTTCCTTAATACCAACTATTGTCATAAATTTACAGGTGTTAAGGAGAAAAAAATGTCCTACTCTGATATGTTGGTGTTCTATCTTTTTTATGTGTAAATAATTAATGCACTTTATTTTCATCTAAAACCTTAGCATATATATATATATATATATATATATATATATATATATATATATATATATATATATATATATATATATATATATAATTTTTTTTTATTTTTTTTAGTTTTGTTTTTCATTTCTGTGCAAAAAGGCATTTTTGTGGTGTTTAAAGGCAAATTTCTTGTATTGCCGGAAGGATATATATATATATATTAATCTCTCTGTAGTCTGATTACAAGCAGTAAGATCTTTATTATATTTACATTTGTCTGTCATGAAAGACATTTTTCACATATTTTTGCTGTAGCAAGCACGCAGTTGATAACCTCTTACGATTCTATACCTGTATGGCCTACATCTATATTTATCTGTTTACTGCTTGTTTGAATGTATCTAGAAATAACATTTTATGTAAGGTCACCTTTATATCCTGGGTTTATCGGAATATGTTTAGCAATTAGTGGATTGAAATCTGCCCAACATGATGTGAGTCTTCACTGATTGAGGTGGTAATGGAAGCTGAAAGCATCAGAGCGGAAGGTATCTCTCTTTACTCTCATATCCTAACTAAGAATGTTAAGGATGGAGAATACAATTCTATGTAAATTGGCAGTTGTGGACACCGCATGAACACCTCATTGATATGTATGGCAGGGGTGTGGAACGTTTTGTCCATGGAAAAATATTTTAATGTAGAAAGTCTGGCGATTCACTAAGCTATGAATTTTCCTAAGTTAAATCTGAAAGAAGTAAAAACTGAGGCCAAAATAGCTGATCTGAAAAATTGATATTTGCCAATACAAAAAAAGGACCCACCTGAGAGGTTTGCCTTGACATGGCAGGTGGGCTAAACCAGCCATTTGAGCCACTAAATAACCTCAATTTGTTTAAATATGCATTGGGATTTGGGAGAGAGCGCAGGTAACTTATTTTCTTTTATAATTTGCCAATAGTTGGCGTTTAGTGTCTTACCCTCTATTTTCATAGTGCGTATGTGTTTCAGCTGAGTGTTATGTATGTGGTGTCTGCTGGCTGTATGTAATGTGTGTGTTGTGTCTGGCATCTTCTGGCTGTATCTTGCGTGTGTGCTGTACGTAATATGCGGGGTGTGTGCTGGCTGTGTGTTTGTGTGTAGTATGGTGTGTGTGCTGCATCTCTTACTCTCACCCTAGCCAAATCTTTCCTTAATTTTATCGAGAGCCAGAACCTTCTCTAAGTCAGATGTGCTCCCAGTTTGGCTACTTTGATCTTAAATTCACTTGAATTCCCTCTTTAGTGAATAACCCTGTGTGATTGGACAGACACAGACATTCTGGACAAGAGAACCTGCACACATTTATTTAGGTATTTTTTCACTGGACTTATATCACAAAAAACAGCTTGCAAGGGCTGCAGTTTTGAGTCCCTACCCCTTAACCGGTAGATTTATTTGGTTTAATCATTCCTATAGTGCAGTGGTTCCCAACCCAGTCCTCAAGTACCCCCCAACAGAAAAGGATTTAGGGATTGCCCTGTTGTGTCTAAGGTGTTTTTAGGAAAAAAAACAAACCACAAAAAAAAACACTTTAGACACAACAGGGTAATCCCTAAATTCTTGAGGACTGGGTTGGGAACCCCTGCTATAGTAACAACTACACTTCCCCAGCAACTACATCACGCTAACCGACTATCATTAACTATTGTGCTTAGTCGTAAACTGGACATATGGTTTCTTAAGAGTATCACAAGTGTTCCTGCTAGGCTATAACTATATTATACACGCTAGTTAAATTTTAATATTTTTAGAGGTTGCACTTTTTGGGTTTATTTTTCTATTTCCCATAATCATTTGGGAAACGCACTCTCAAGGATGTTTTATCATAATCCTATTTTCTCCTGCTCCTCCTTTAGCTTTTTGGATATTTTTGATGAAATTTCATTTTTACTAGAGGGTTAACCCTCATATAGGAGAAAATGTACGTGACACTATCTTTCTAGTCTTACGTTACACTGCTTAACAGCAAACTAAAAACCTTACCAGATAAAATGGTGAGCATTACACTCAACACTCGAGGCTTCCAGTCTTATACCAGTGATTCGGCCTCATCTTGGAAGGGAAAGAGGAAGCCTTGCTTGCAATTTTGGTTAGTTAGGAAGCCATGAAGCAGCTTCTGTTATACAGAAAC